TCATACCATGGATTTTGGTATGCTTATGAGCACGCTCCCATATATCCCAAAATCCAGTAATATGCTCATGAGCATTGTGATGGGGATGCTGGATTTTGGTATATATATGAGGGTGCTCTTGAGATACCGGATTTTGGTATGTTAATCAGCACGCTCGTGTATATACCAAGATCCAGTAATATATATGCTCATGACCATTCTCATGAGGTTGCTGGATTTTGGTATATATTACCATACCATATTCCATTCCATACCAAACCATACCATTCCATAATACTGTACCATATATCATCCATTCCACGCTATTACACCATACCGTACTATACCATTCCATATACCATCTTATTCTTCTATAATGAATTGTTCTCTTCCAGGTATACCGTCCGCCATCGATCGACATGTCCTTTTCTGATTGCTGTGATTATATTGAAAGTTTGCCCTCCGTCGATCATCCGGAATTGTTCGGAATGCAGTCGGAGGCAAATCGTTTATGTTTACAAAATGAAGGCAAACATCTATTGGACGATCTCATTCTGGTACATCCACAGGTTGAGAATCTTGGAGGGTAGGTCTTCGGATTGGCTTTAATAGAGAGTTAATTTGAGCAAGATGACGAAGTGCAAAGACGAAGACGTATACTTGAGGACTTACTGTACATTATCCTGCGCATACTGAGTTAAATCGAAAAAAGGCACTTTAAAACATTTCTACCGTTCCAAAACTTGTTTTGTGTTAAAGTCCAGGGGCCAGTTGTTCAAAGGTAGGTGGGTTAGCGCCATAGTTAGCGTTTATGTATTTCTGCACTTCGGATTATTTCAAAACTTCAGAGAAGTAAACTCCTATCGATCCAGACGTGATTTCTGAAGAATCATTTCCAAATTTGTAAACAAGCTGTCAGGAAGTTTGCTTTGGATTTTAGGTTAACCAAGCGTTAAGCTGGTCGGATTTCGAACAACCGGCCCCTGGTATTCTTGTTGATTTTGAGCTTTTAGTCCTTGCTTGAACTATGCCAAAATTGGAAAAAATCAATGTTTTGAAAGTTGTACTATTTTCGTGATTCCCCCCTCCTTCTATAAACATTGCGGCTTTGCATTCGGGAATGAGAATTTACATCCGGACAACAAGCTTTTTGCCAATCAGAGAGCGTCACTTGCCCCCATTAGGAAGCTTCAATTTGTCCCTCGATTTTCCAAACAATGCCCATTCTATTATTTTATAATCTCTATGGGTTGCTCAACGTATGTTCCCTAAACATTATTGGGTAGGTTTAAATTTTATATTTTCTAATTTAAATTTTATAGTTCTGGCAAGACAAACGATGAGATCGTGCTGGAACTCGTCTCAGACATTCAAAAGTTCCTTCCAACGAGAATGGTATCTCTTGATAAACAAACATCCACAAAGAACCCTAGCCATCCTACTACAACCACCTCCTCTGATCCTATGATGGACCCCTCTACCACCGTATCCTCGGCTATACATACTGTATTGAAACAGGAAGTGTTCAGGTTCACACGTCTCTTGAACGTCATCCATGCTTCGCTTAACTCTTTATATCAGTCTATCCATGGTCTAGTGTTGCTGTCAGTCGACATTGAGGAAACCTACAAGTCCTTACTGATCAACCAAGTACCAAGACAATGGCAGGTAGGTACATTTTCAGATTTTGCTTTGAAGTGGTGTTGAAAGTTCGGGGGCAGGGGAGGGGTAACCCCGAGAGAGTGTAACGCTGACGTGCAAGTTGGCGAATTTTGGTCTGATTTTGTTCAAATCCTTGTTTTTAGTCTTATTTAGGTCAAAATTCTTGTTTCGACCATACCACTGTAATTTCATCTAATAAGCATTTAAATTTCTGTAGTGGTGCAAATTTCTTTGTGTAGGGTGGGAAAACTTTCTGGGGTCTTCCACTTTTACCACCCCCTCCCGCCAGAAAATCTGTTTGTGTAATGAACAGTCGCGAACAAAAGCACTGTATATTCTCCAGGTTAAGCCTGTAGATCATATTTTCGTGTGGAGGTAGCCAATCTTTGACAGGATGGTAGACGTAGGGGTCTAGGGCGGTGAGCTCCATATTTACCTGGAGCGAGAACTCGAGTCAACAAAACGTGAAGCCAAATATGGAACTATTGGACGTCAGTTTCAATCCCTTTATAATGCTTTTGTCTACAAGGGGTGTGTCTGTATTTTGACTTCTATTTAAAGAATAATACGAATGTTTTATGAACTGATAATTTGTTTAGCGATACGGTCGATTAGAAAAAACTGGAATTAGCTGGAGAAAATGGTATGAAAACTGTTTACAATCTTCGTAGCTTCACTTTTCTAATATGCCGAATGACTGAAGGTCTTCCTCCAAGGAAAAAATAAAAAGTGTTTTTCGTTAACCAATCACATTGTCGAAAGTTATTTTTCGCTTCGCCCGAAAAAATTCGCCCAGTGGAAAACGGGCTTCAGGCAGATCCCATTCTGATAACTTTTTAATTTGGCTGTTTAATTTGGCTTGGAAGATTCGCGTCTAATTTGTTTTGCGAACAACATCTTGCCTTTGTTTTTAGAAAGTTTCCTACGATTCCACGAAACCACTGGCGTCTTGGGTGAACAACTTGGTTCAAAGAATTAATTTCTTTTCCCGATGGCTTGAAGCAACTCTCTTGGCACGTGACCCATCTGCCGCGGCACGCTCGGCCCAGTCTACTCGTTCAGGCACGGCTGTTGCCGAGAAGACGTCATCACATGGTGTGTTCAGGTCTCCCGACATGCCTCGCGCATTCTGGATCTCAGCTTTCTTTTGCCCGCAAGGTAAGTCCGACTTGGTTATGTCAGTTCTCGCGAAGAGTGTATGTACTGTACATAGTATATAGAATAGACCATTTCCGAATGGACCTATTCCCTAATGAACAAAATTTTGATCTAGACAAGGCAAGATAAACATTTCACCACAGCTTGAAAGAGCATCACAAAATTAGTAATATTCCAAAGTTTCGTTGCGAAATGTTGTAAAATGCGGATAATATAGCCCTGCGAAGTTTGCCGTTTTTCAGTCATTTTGTATTACGCACGGCAAATTGATACCGCTTTCTGAAAAAAGGTATCAATTTCCCGTAAGGGGCCATTCACAAAGGATGTCCGAGCCGAGGGGGGGGGGGAGGGGGGTTTGGAAAATCAGGACAAACTCGGACATAGGGGAGGGAGGTTTTTAGCAATCCGGATGTCCGAAATTTAAAAAACTTCAAAAACAAATTTCTTTTTCCTCTATAGTTTTGAACTCTCCTTCCCATTGTGAAATTGGCATTTTGAACACTTCATAATATTATCTAATTCTTTCCTTCAATGATGAATTCAACAGTGGCATCAAGTAAAAGCTTTCTGCATGTATAACTCCTTTTCTATACAATAAGTTCATCCCAATGTTGCAGTAACACAGTTGTTTGTTTTAATTAATAATTTATATGTTTTTGTATTCACATTTATAGTTATAAAAAAGTTCTAAAAGTAAAAAAGGTTTTTACTCTTGACATATACAAGGTTGTGTGAGTTTTTGCGAGGCATGGCGAATGTCCAGAGGGAGGGGAGGGGGTCACTAATTCGAACAATGCCGGACAAGGGGGGGGGGGGTGTCTGAAAATCTATAATTTGGCCGGACATCCTTTGTGAATGGCCCCTAATACAAAATGACTGAAAAACGACAAACTTCGCAGGGCTATATTATCCGCATTTTACAACATTTCGCAACGAAACTTCGGAATATTACTAATTTTGTGATGCTCTTTGCAGCTGTGATTAAAATTGTGTCTAGACTTATCTGGATCAAAATTTTGTTCATTAGGGAATAGGTCCATTAGGCTTCATTGACCACAAAGACTATCTTGGGAACGAGGCTCCGTGTGAAATTGTAAAGTCTTGTATTGATTTAGGACTGAACCTCGACCTGGTGTTGCCGTAGATCGTAACCAATGATCGTAACTCGGAATTGATCTATAGTATAGTATGCCTGCCACGTATAGGTTCGGTTGTATGCTCATCAAGATTTTGTTGGCATCTCGATTGAACAACAATAGTTGAAGGTTTTTTTAGATGGAAATTACCGAGTGTAAATCTATATACATTTATTAGACCTAACCAGGAACAGCTGCGAAAAATGTAACTTTAGGTCTTCTGGCAGGAATCTAACACCTACCCATACCTTAACATGACAGTACCCTAGTGAAGGCAGCACTTTCCTTGCGATAGTAACTCCTAGTATATATATACTTTAACTTGTGGTTAGAGCTCGACAACTGGACTCTGTAGCTCAGTTGGTTACTGAGAGCGTTGCACTGGAATCCCAGGTTCGATTCCCGCCAGAGGGCCTAGTATAGTTGCATTTTTCGCAGCTGTTTCTGGTTTAATAAATGTATATATAATTTACACTCGATAATGTCTAGGTGCAAAACCCTTCATCTCGGTTTTACTTAGCCTGCAAAGAAGGCGGAGTGACAGGCTTGCCTTGCAGGCTAGGTTATTACTAAACACTATCCTGCTGCAGATCATATTCATAGGGCGACAATAGTGGGATTTGATAGAATTTCTTTTCAATATATTCTAATTTCTCGTATTAGATGCCAAATGAGTAGAATTGAGTAATTGACAGTTTGTTTTCCTTTTAAAAGTGTATATAGTGTGCACAACTGCCCCAGAATTGTGGACCTAACAGAATCTTCTTTTTTTCAGGATTCTTCACGTCAGTTCTTCAAAGGCATGCTCGAGTACACCAAGTTCCTGTGGACTCTCTGATGTTTCAATACGAGATCACGGAGAGAGTATGGCTTCCTGACGACACACCACACGAGAGGGATCTCGATATAAACAGAGTGGCATTCCATGGCGCATCACCGGATGATTGTGTTCGGATATTTGGTCTGTATCTGGATGGTGCTATCTGGGAAGCGACCTCTGCATGCTTGCAGGAATCTCTCATGGATGAACGCTTTTCGGCTTTGCCTGAGGTCAAGCTTATGCCAGTCGTGGTAAGGCTAACTTACTATACGTCAATCTCTTAATTCCTCTTTGTTTATGCGATTGACAATTTTTGCCCGTCTGATTATGATTATTCAGCTCACAACCCATCCATTACTTACATTACCTACTTAGCCTGACTATTTATTATTAGAACAATTGTGATATTACTTTCATAACTGTTTATCCTAACCCACCCTGTCAACTTTCCCTGTGGGAGGAAACCAGAGCGCCCGGAGAAAACCCACGACTTTCGACAGAGCGTTGACTGACTCTTTTCACATGAGTCCGTAGCGAGAATCAAACCCACGAACTCAGAGGTGAAATACGCTTGCTCTGACGACTGCGCCACCGAAGCCCCCTGTGCTTGCGCATATTGAGATTGGTTTCAACGAATACAAGCTATAGATTCGTGTCCTGCTATTTATGAAATAGACCTTTCCGGAAAGTACTCAGCCTTGGCTATAGGGTCCCGTATTCGGGATTGATGCATCGACTTTAAAACCCTTCATCTTGATGATATGATGTGACCCTTTCAGCGCCTATTCTGAGACACTGTTATCAATAGGAGCCCTGCACTAAAACTAATACAAGAATATAAAAATAATTTTAACCTACATATTACTACAAATATACAAAATATGTTGAGCGTATAAGTCCATATCGATGAGAAGAACCAATAACACTAAAAGTTAGCATTTCCATCAACCAATGATTAAAACACAGGATGCCCAGGCTCGATTTGCCCGCGCCCGCCTGTGCCTTCCTTATAACGAGGGAAGGACGGAGACATTGAGACCAAAATAGCCCAGACTTGGCATATGTCACACGAAACTATCCTCGATTTTTCGCTTTTAATGCATTTCTTTCACGATTAATCGATATTCCCTGCAAGAATGATACCATATAACTCTCAAAACAACGATGCTTTAAGCAAAGAGCTTAAATTCGCTCTGAAATTCGTGAGGGAATAACAAAATTTGGCCAAAATATATCCGCGTGCCGGGTTTGCTGTGCAAAAAGCGGAAGTCGTTGAACAACTCAAAATACACTCAACCCTGATTGGACAATGAATATCAACAAACATATCAAATTTTTTTAAACAGTACTGTAATAATTTCAATCATACAATCAAAACTATTCACAAACGTTATAAAGTGTAAATATTACTGCATGTAAATATAACTGTAGTACGTACGTTAATATGTATAATAAATTGTATTTCACATTGTGTTTGTTAAAAAAATTTGAAATGTTTGTTGATATTCGTTGTCCAATCAGGGTTGAGTGTATTTTGAGTTGTTCAACGACTTCCGCTTTTTGCACAGCAAACCCGGCACGCGGATATATTTTGGGCGAATTTTGTTATTCCCTCACGGATTTCAGAGCGAATTTAAGCTCTTTGATTAAAGCATCGTTGTTTTGAGAGTTATACGGTATCATTCTTGCAGGGGATATCGATTAATCGTGAAAGAAATGCATTAAAAGCGAAAAATCGAGGATAGTTTCGTGTGACATATGCCAAATCTGGGCTATTTTGGTCTCAATGTTTCCGTCCTTCCCTCGTTATAAGGAAGGTACAGGCGGGCGCGGGCAAATCGAGCCTGGGCCTCCTGTGATTAAAACTGTTAAAAACAATATAGGCATTGTAGAAGAATGACTTCTTTGTCGATTCAAGCTCGTGGGCTTCATCTTGATACTGATGACTCAATTATATAGAGGTCTTCTATATATAATCTAATATTATCTAATATAACTATATGAAGAATTACCTACACGTTCGATCTGGCTTACCGGGCTGTCGCGTTAACCGGGCTAGCCCGGCTTCCATATAGACAACCCTTTAGAGGTTCAACTGAAAATCTTATTTCAACTCACCATATTTATTTCCAGAGCACAAAGGGTTATAGTCCCGATACGAACTTGATACCCTATGAATGCCCTGTCTACTCTACGCCTGTACGAGGCAACTCGTTTATCCTGGCCATCCACCTGCCATCCGCACATTCCTCGCAGTACTGGGTCACACGTGGCGTTGCCTTGGTTACGCAGCTACCGGAGTAAAGCTTGCTGTAGACTGGTCAGTGGTTATCGTTTCTTGTGTATATAATTTGTGTATATACTGCCTGTATGTGAATGTACGTTCTACTGGTGGGTTTTAGTAAGTGTCATAGGGCAGCAGATGGTGGTCAAGTTAAAATAAATATTTCAGTTCTACTATGTTTTACTACCAAGACAAGACTATCACATAAAATGAAAAGAATTTGCATTATTTTCTCGGTCTGATAACTGCAAGTTGATTCTGTGCCGTCTGCTGTGCGATAGTGCTTACTGAAGTCATTGTTTTGTATATACTGTGAATATAACTTTTATTTAAGTTTTGACATCTCAGTCAATGACTCTCAGTCAATGTACATTTTGTACTGTATGTTTGTATACTTGTATTTTTATATTCATAGTTGTATATAAGCGATGTTTTTATTATTGTATGTTCGTTGTTGTATTGTTAGGTTAGTAAAGTTAGGGGGTATGTGCTAATCATCCTTTATTGCAGCTCAAACGTGATTGTATTGAAGGTATACTAACCAGGGCGCCTTCAGTTCCACCATACAACCTATGTCTGAACACGAACGACCCCCAACGTTCAGCGTCAGGCTTAACTCGGCTGCCGAGCGATCCATTCGAGCACAAAAAGTTGTTCGCGGACCACACAATGGACTGAAAACTGCCACGCTAGATACCTATACACATGTACAAATCTCACAATTTGTCATCAAGATGTGTTCGCACTTCGCACCAGGCTTGTTACAAGCTTGTCAACAAGTTGTAACAACACTGTTATTTCATCAAGTTGTTGAATTGCAGGACGATAACAAGTTGTTGGGACAACTTGTAACAAGTCTGATGTGCTCAACAGCCCTGTAGCAAGTTGTCAACAAGCTGAGAACAAGCAGTGCGAACACATCATGTTGACAAGTTGTTGGAACAGCATTGCTACAAGTCTACAGCAGGTTTGTTACAACTTGTGTGTAAAGCGCATTTTCAAACTGGGTCGCTCGTCTCGCACAGATAAAGCGAAGCGAAGGTAAAGAAAACTGACCTAAAGGGTTTATAAGAATATCGTATTTCGATCTGTGGAATACTGGCCGTCACTACGGAGGTTATAACGGGCTCATTTCACGTCTAGAACTTAGCAATTTTTCTAATCAGTATTTTACAACATTTAGGTATAATACTTTTCGATTACAAAGACAATACGCACTTTCATAATTTTGATACTAGGGATAAGAAGAACATACGTAAATTTGGGTCTATACAAAACAAATTTGCGGACAACTGGAACAATCTTGATGTGGCAATCCATGAATCACCAGCTCTTGCTATTTTATAAGACTGACTTTACTTTCTATAAGACCTTTACCGCACTGATTCAATATTGCATGTAATAGCGGTATTTTATTCTGCACATTTTTAGTCGCAATTCTAATTTTTAACTTACGTGTATGCAGGACCCAAATTGTAAATCGCCTATAATCTATATGGAGAATTGGTCTACCTGATTAAATATGATTGTTAAAATATATTAATGTTTTCCGCCGGAAACACCTGCAACTATAGTTTATGGCTAAAAACACAATATATAGGGATTCTATATGATCAATATATATATATATATATATATATATATATATATATATATATATATATATATATATATATATATATATATATATATATATATATATATATATATATATATATATATATATATATATATATATATATATATATATATACTCAATCCCTATATACTTGGGATATATACCCATATACTGTGGCTAAAAATACAAATAGTTTAAATGTTTTGATTGTTGACGTGCTAGAAAATTGCAACCAAGCATGTCGTCATTTATCGCAAACAATTTATTCCAGGAACCCCGATTCCGAAAATTGGAAACGAAAACAATAATATTTCCGCTGTCTTCCGGTTTACTGGAGTATAACGAAGTAAACAGCGTATTGTAGCTGTTACAGTGCTTGGCAGTCTGGTTTGGTTTTGATTCGACGAGTAAAAATGGATTCCAGACCTTATACGGTACATATATACGAAGATGAAGCAAGCCGTATTAGCAACTGGACATTACAATACTTTGATATTGAAACCGGTGGTGATATCTTCGGGCTTTGGTTGAACGAAAACGAAGTCGTCATTCAAGCGGTTCTTGGCCCTGGTCGAAACTGTCGACGCACTACAACCTCCTTCTTTCAAGATGAACAATATTTAAGTCGTGTTGGAGGATTACTGACTAATAGTCAAGGTCTATGCAATGTTGGTTCTTGGCATTCTCATCATACTATGAACTTACCAGATCCTAGCCGTGGTGATAAGGACACAGTGTGGCGACATCTGCCTACTCCAGGGAGGTTTGTACTGCTTATTGCTACTATCGAGATGAAAACTGGAGCACCTAAAGTTCAAATGGGTTTTAACTTGTTTGAATCGACTAATAAGGGAAATAAAGTAATTCCCATGCAGTTGGGAGTTCTGCAAGGACAAAGCCCAATTCGAGCTAATAAAGCAGTGAGCAGTCAAATGATTGAAGGTGCTGAAGTCACAGCTAAAGTGCAGTCCAAAAAGATGACTCGTCCAGAACCGTCTGTGCGGTCGGACTTCACAAGGCCGGAAATAGACAAAAAATCAAAAGGTAAATCAAATACAGAGTACGACGGAAGTGCAGCTTTCTTCAACCGCCAGAAATCAGATCGTCAGGGACATCGCAAACCATTGCAACAGGATACAACATGTGATGGAGTACGTTCATATTATACTTTTCCACCTGGCCATTCAGAAGTTCGACCTCCAAAACCGCGTCATCACGCTAAGCACGAACGGCCTGCTTTTACGTACTCCTTCTACCCCCTACCCGATGGTAGAGAGGGGGTAGAGTTGAAACATCATGGTCATCCACTTGGCTCTTGCGAAGATTGTCGCAATATCATAGTGAGACAGAGGAGGGACGGCAAAATCAAAATGTATGTCGAACATCGTCAAGGCGAACCGGAGTGCTGTTGTTGTATTCTCTAAGAACACGAATGATTCAAAGACGAAAGTTATAATCCCTAGTATCGCACTTTATTACACTTCTATAATTCCCTTTTTAAGTTTAAAAGCACTTCATGATGTAATCTAGCGAAACAATGTATACGGTTCGTGTAATCGTGTTAGATTGTGGTGCTACAGTCTACAAAAAAAAGCACTTCATGATGTAATCTAGCGAAACAATGTATACGGTTCGTGTAATTGTGTTAGATTGTGGTGCTACAGTCTACAAATACTCAACCTCGTGCCTTGGGTATTTTCTCTTTCATACTCTGATGCCAATACTGACTTGACCCCGTATTGAATTTTAGCAATCAAAGTATTTACCTGCATCTCAAAAACAAAATGTTTTTGATATATTAGTATAATAAGATATTATTGCACACCATATGATACTTGTAATATGCACATTCATTTGACTATAATGGTTTCGCTAGGCACTTTCGTGCAGCAGAAGTCAACCGGCAGTTATCAATGTCAGAAAATTATGTAAACTCTTTTCGTTTTATGTAGTGGTTGCAGTTGAATTGTCGTGCTTCTATTAGTCTCACATTTCTAAAGTAGACTACTATCAGCTGTCCTATAACTCTTACTGAAACACACCTAGCTTAGTCATAAAAGTTTCAATTTTGTGATGACAAGTATGCTTGTAATGCCTTTGAAATTAAAACGATAATAAAGTCCCACCTACTTTGCATAACTACACAACATGATGCCAAACATTTATTCTTGTGAAATCCGTTTTCCTGGAACAAAGGGTTTTTCCCAGATGAGAAGAACTATACGCCAAGCAGATGTTTTAATATTAAATACACCCAAAGTGTGTCTCTGGCAAGCAGATATATAACCCTCCGGTGCAGCGCTCTAACCAACTGAGCTACAGAGTCCAGTACATGTCGAGCTCAGACCAACTGAGCTACAGAGTCCAGTACATGTCGAGCTGTGACCAACTGAGCTACAGAGTCCAGTTTGTTGAGCTCTAACCAACTGAGCTACAGAGTCCAGTTGTTGACCTCTAACCAACTGAGCTACAGAGTCCAGTTTGTTGAGCTCTAACCAACTGAGCTACAGAGTCCAGTTGTTGAGCTCTAACCAACTGAGCTTCAGAGTCCAGTTTGTTGAGCTCTAACTAACTGAGCTACAGAGTCCAGTTTGTTGAGCTCTAACTAACTGAGCTACAGAGTCCAGTTTGTTGAGCTCTAACTAACTGAGCTACAGAGGCCAGTTGTCAAGCTCTAACCAACTGAGCTACATAGTCCAGTTGTTGAGCTCTAACCCACTGAGCTACAGAGTCCTGTTGTTGAGCTCTAACCAACTGAGCTACAGAGTCCAGTTGTTGAGCTCTAACCAACTGAGCTACAGAGTCCAGCTGTCGAGCTCTAACCAACTGAACTACAGAGTCGAGTTGTTCATCTCTAACCAACTGAGCTACAGAGTCCAGTTGTCGAGCTCTAACCAACTGAGCTACAGAGTCCAGTTGTTGAGCTCTAACCAACTGAGCTACAGAGTCCAGTTGTTGAGCTCTAACCAACTGAGCTACAGAGTCCTGTTGTTGAGCTCTAACCAACTGAGCTACAGAGTCCTGTTGTTGAGCTCTAACCAACTGAGCTACAGAGTCCAGTTGTTGAGCTCTAACCAACTGAGCTACAGAGTCCAGCTGTCGAGCTCTAACCAACTGAACTACAGAGTCGAGTTGTTGAGCTCTAACCAACTGAGCTACAGAGTCCAGTTGTCGAGCTCTAACCAACTGAGCTACAGAGTCCAGTTGTTGAGCTATAACCAACTGAGCTACATAGTCCAGTTGTTGGGCTCCAACCAATTGAGCTACAGAGTCCAGTTGTTGAGCTCTAACCAACTAAGCTTCAGAGTCCAGTTGTTGAGCTCTAACCAACTGAGCTACAGAGTCCAGTTGTTGAGCTCTAACCAACTGAGCTACAGAGTCCAGTTGTTGAGCTCTAACCAACTGAGCTACAGAGTCCAGTTGTTGAGCTCTAACCAACTGAGCTACAGAGTCCAGCTGTCGAGCTCTAACCAACTGAGCTACGGAGTCCAGTTGTTCAGCTCTAACCAACTGAGCTACAGAGTCCAGTTGTTGAGCTCTAACCCACTGAGCTACAGAGTCCTGTTGTTGAGCTCTAACCAACTGAGCTACAGAGTCCAGTTGTTGAGCTCTAACCAACTGAGCTACAGAGTCCAGTTGTCGAGCTCTAACCAACTGAACTACAGAGTCGAGTTGTTCAGCTCTAACCAACTGAGCTACAGAGTCCAGTTGTCGAGCTCTAACCAACTGAGCTACAGAGTCCAGTTGTTCAGCTCTAACCAACTGAGCTACAGAGTCCAGTTGTCGAGCTGTAACCAACTGAGCTACAGAGTCCTGTTGTTGAGCTTTAACCAACTGAGCTACAGAGTCCAGTTGTTGAGCTCTAACCAACTGAGCTACAGAGTCCTGTTGTTGAGCTCTAACCAACTGAGCTACAGAGTCCAGTTGTTGAGCTCTAACCAACTGAGCTACAGAGTCCAGTTGTTGAGCTCTAACCAACTGAGCTACAGAGTCCAGTTGT